CACAGTTTGGGCCGTGACAGTACCCCCCCCTCAACGGGAGCCTCCAGGCGAACCACCAGGCTTGTCTGGGTGGTCTCTGTGAAAGTCCCGAATGAGAGAGGGACCTAGAATGAGCTTGCGGGACACCCAGCTCCTCTCCTCAGGACCATAACCCTCCCAATCGACCAGATACTGGTACCCACGGCCCCGGCGGCGAATGTCCAACAGCCGCCGGACCGTGTAGGCCGGGTGGTCATCAATAACAAGGGTGGGTGGAGGGGAGATGGCTGGAGGGCACAAAGGGCTGGAAAACACTGGTTTCAACTGGGACACATGAAAGGTAGGGTGAATTCTCATGGAGGGAGGCAGCTTGAGTCTAACAGCAGATGGATTGATTATGCGCTCGATCACATAGGGACCAATGAAGCGTGGTTTCAACTTCTTAGACTCAGCTTGTAAAGAAATATTTTTAGATGAAAGCCAAACTTTCTGACCTGGTTGGAACTGGGGAGCTGCGGTCCGGTAGCGGTTTGCAATATGCCGATTGCGTTCAGCGGAGCGGAGAAGGGCAGAGCGGGCATCCTTCCAGATCCTCCGACAACGACGGAGATGGGCTTGGACAGAGGGAACTGCGATCTCGTCCTCTTGGGCTGGGAACAAAGGGGGTTGATATCCAAGAGAACATTCAAATGGGGACATACCGGTGGCAGCACTAGACAGTGAGTTATGAGCGTATTCAATCCAGGGCAGATGTAAACTCCAGGAGGTGGGATTCCGGGAGGTGACACAGCGAAGTGCAGCTCCAAGGTCCTGATTGGCTCTTTCGGCCTGCCCGTTAGTCTGCGGATGATAGCCTGAGGAGAGACTGACAGATGCTCCAAGTGCTCGACAGAATGCTTTCCATACCTGAGATATGAACTGTGGCCCTCGGTCGGAAACAATGTCTGTTGGAATGCCATGAAGCCGGACCACATGATTGACTAGGAGGTCAGCAGTTCCAGAGGCTGTGGGGAGTTTAGGAAGAGGCACAAAATGAACCGCTTTGGAAAAGCGATCGACAATAGTGAGAATGGTTGAGTTACCCTGTGAAACCGGGAGGCCGGTAACAAAGTCTAGGCCGATGTGACTCCAGGGACGACTAGGGACTGGGAGAGGCTGGAGTAGACCGATAGGAGCCTGGTGTGAAGACTTGCTACGGGCGCAGACAGTGCAGGCCAGCACAAAGGCTCGAGAGTCCGCTTCCATGGAAGGCCACCAGAAGTGTCGTCTCAGGAGGGACAGGGTCCGATTCACACCCGGGTGGCAGGCAAAGCGGGAAGCATGGGTCCATAGGAGAACCTGTGAGCAGACAGAGTCAGGTACAAACAAACGGTTATCTGGACCATTTCCTGGATCTGGCTGGTCTCTCTGTGCATTCCTCACTGAGTTCTCAATCTCCCATGTCACAGCGCCCACCACTCTGGTAGCAGGGATTATGGTGTCAGGAACTATGGGGTCCTGATCCACTGCAAACTGCCGGGACAATGCGTCAGGTTTAAGGTTTTTAGAACCAGGTCGGTAGGTAAGGGTGAAGTTGAACCTGCCAAAAAACAATGCCCAGCGTGCCTGACGGGAGTTTAGTCGTTTGGCAGTTTGTATGTAGACCAGGTTCCTGTGGTCTGTCCACACAATGAATGGATGTTCACAGCCTTCCAGCCAGTGCCTCCATTCTTCCAGCGCAAGCTTTACAGCAAGCAGCTCCCTGTTGCCAACATCATAGTTGCGCTCAGAGGTTGTCAGTCGTCGGGAAAAAAAAGCACAAGGGTGAAGCTTTTGATCGGAGACTGAGCGTTGTGATAGAACAGCCCCCACACCGGTGTTGGATGCATCAACCTCAACAATAAACTGAAGAGATGGGTCAGGATTCATAAGAATAGGAGCCGAGGTGAAACGTCTCTTCAGCTCAGAGAAGGCAGCCTCAGCCTGAGTAGTCCATGAGAAGGGGATTGCTGGGGAGGTGAGTTGGTTGAGAGGACCGGCAACACGACTGTAGTCTCTGATGAACCGGCGATAGAAATTTGCAAAGCCCAAAAAACGTTGGAGCTGCTTCCTGGTGGAAGGTTTGGGCCATCGTGCCACTGCTTGTACCTTCTCTGGGTCTGTTCTCACCTGACCTTGCTCAATGATGTAGCCCAGGAAGTCCACTGAATCCACGTGAAATTTGCATTTCTCTACTTTGACAAACAGCTTGTTCTCGAGGAGCCTTTGTAGAACCTGCTGCACATGTTGGGTGTGTTCCTCCATGGTCTGTGAGAATATCAGAATATCATCCAGATACACAAATACTGAACGGTTCAGGAAGTCACGGAGGACATCGTTCACAAGAGCCTGGAAGACAGCTGGGGCATTAGTGAGTCCAAAGGGCATCACTAGATACTCGAAATGGCCTAGTGGGGTGTTGAATGCGGTCTTCCACTCGTCTCCTTGACGTATGCGGACCAGGTGGTAAGCATTCCTGAGGTCGAGTTTCGAGAAAATGGTGGCCTTCTGTAGGGGTTCGAAGGCTGAATTGATGAGGGGCAGTGGATACTTGTTCTTGATGGTGATGTTGTTAAGGCCCCGGTAGTCAATGCAGGGGCGCAGGGAGCGGTCTTTCTTGGATACAAAGAAGAAGCCTGCTCCGACGGGGGAAGAAGAGGGTCTTATGATGCCAGCAGCGAGTGAGTCTTTGATGTATGTCTCCATGGCCTCACGCTCAGTTCGGGACAAGTTAAACAGGCGACTGGATGGGAGAGATGCCCCAGGAAGAAGATCTATTGTGCAGTCGTAAGGGCGATGAGGGGGCAGAAAAAGGGCTCGCTGCTTGCTGAAAACCTCTCCCAGGCTATGATAAACCGGAGGGACAGCGGACAAGTTGAGTGGCTCCTGCTGAACTGGGGGAATACCGACCTCTGCTGGGGGAATTGCAGACCGCAGGCATGAAGAGTGACAAAAGGTACTCCAACTCCTTACTTGATTCTCCGACCAGTCTATGTGGGGGTTATGCAGTCTTAACCATGGCTGGCCCAGAACTAGGGGTGTGTGAGGGGAGGACATGACGTGGAACTGAATCATTTCATGGTGATTACCGGACAGGACGAGATGTAGGGGTTCGGTGACATGGGTAACGTGTGCCAGGAGCTTCCCATTCAGACCTCGAGCATTGAGAGGAGCTGTCAGAGGTTGAGTTGAGATGCCGGCTGAGGCAACCAGTTGGGCATCCAAAAAGCTCTCATCAGCCCCAGAGTCCAGTAGGACAGGCAGAGAGAGAGACTGTTGGTTTAACAACAGTGTGGCTTCAAGTGGCTTGCGGGTCTGGGGGGTTGAGGAAGAAACAGCCTTGCTCACCAGTATCCCCACCTTTACTGGCGAGCACCCTCTTTTGGGCGCTGGGGGCATGTGTCCACGAAATGACCGGAGTGAGCACAGTAGACACAAAGTCCTTCTCTTATTCTCCGGAGACGTTCTTGGGGAGTGAGTCGGGCTCTGCCTAGCTGCATCGGTTCCTCTGAAGACAGGAGAGGAGAAAAGACTTCAGATGGGGCACTGGGACTTGGGAAAGTTTCCGACCCGAATCTTGCGAGAGGAGACGAGACAGGGCGAGAGTGGAGTGACCCAGGAGATCGGCTGGCTCTTTCCCTACGGCGCTCCCTAAGGCGATTATCCAGTCTTATGGCTAGAGAGACCAACTCATCCAAGTTAGCTGATTCGTCCCTCACTGCTAACTCATCCTTAACCGAATCAGTTAGCCCTGTTTGAAAAACCCCTTGAAGCGCTGTGTCATTCCAACCCGCCTCTGCAGCTAAGGTCCTAAATTCCACTGAGTATTCGGCTACACTACGGGAGCCCTGTCGCAGTGAGAGGAGGCGTTTAGTAGCGTCCCTACCGCTGACGGGGTGGTGGAATACTTTCTTCATTTCCTCTACAAACTCTGGATAAGAATTACAAAGGTTGGACTGACTCTCCCATACAGCTGATGCCCAGGCTAGGGCGCTACCTGTAAGTAAACCTATCATATAACAAATCTTAGCTCTGTCGTTAGCATAAGTAGACGGCTGCTGCTCAAACACAAGAGAACACTGCATTATGAAAGACTTACATGTCCCTAAGGCACCTGCGTACCGCTCTGGAGTGGGAATATTAGGCTCACGTGAAGGGAGAGCGGGCTGGGCTGGAACCGGTGCTAACTCTTGTGGGGGAGCTGGATCTTCAGGAGCAGGCGGAGCAAGATGAGTTGAAACCAGGTTGAGGTGATGTCCCATCTGTGCTACGTTGGCAGCTAGTGATGCAAGGTTATCCATAACCTCTCTGAGCATCTGGTCATGCCGGCCCACGAGGACGCCTTGGTTGGAGAGAGCCTCACGAATTGGGTCCGAGCCTGCTGGGTCCATGGTGGCCAGATTGTTCTGTTAGGATTATGTTTTAAACAGGACCCAGGCGCAGGCAATGACTGGAGATGTTTAAAAGGTTTATTGTTCTGAGACTCAGGCGGGTTTGGAGACTATGGAGGTCCGGAGTGGAGGTAGGCAGTTCAGGCTGGACTGAGAACAGGGCAGGCAGGTATGGTGAAGGAAGAAGCAGGCAGGTTGGCTGGAAGCTCTGGTGGCCGATGGCTGAGGGATCGTACTGGAAGTACAAGGAGAAACTAATTACAAAAAGTACAGAATAACACGCAGACAGGATAACTGAAATGAGCAGCCAGGAGGATGCAATACCACTGGTGTAGAAAACAATCTGGCGGTGAGTTGCTGGGAGACTGGAGTAGATATGCTGTGTCTTGATTGGATTGATGAGGGACAGCTGAGCCGGTCGGCCAGGTGAGTGCAATCAGGCTGCTGCCTGCAAGGGAAACCACACCCCCTCCACACACACACAGGGGAACAAACAGGGACACACAGGGACACACAGGGACACAGTTTGGGCCGTGACAGAATCCCCTTGATATTATAACTGCTCTCTTCCTGTGCTCTGATGGTTTTGTACAGCAGGAAATGGCCCTCAAAATGTCTATGTGTCAGTTTTCCGTGCCTCTGTTGCTTCCCAACTGTGACACAAAGCAGTGCACACTCATGCTTTGGGCCATGAGAGACATTGTTAAAAAGTACAGACCTCAGTCACTTTCAGAATCCAAGGGATTGATTGAAGAGAGAATTGTTGTCTCTGAACTTCCAATGATATCTTTTGTGAGACTGGGTGAGTGCTCCTTGTCCAAGTCAAAGATCCTCAATGAGCTTCTGAGCAATTCTCAGCAGTACCATGACACCTTTGTTCACTCCAACATGGAGGGTGGTGACAGTCCAAGGAGAATATCCAGTGGATTGGTTGAAATGACTTGGTACCTCCCTTGTGGGAACAAAAACATGGATGTCTTCAGCGAGCCAGTTGCTGTAGCTAACCTTCGTGGGGACATTGCTTCATATCAAACACAATTTTCTTTCTTGTGTCAGACATCTGCAGCAGTTTTTGTGTTCTTTGACGCTTTGGACTCTGAGTGTGAGCTGCTAACCAACCAAAACCACAAGGCACAGATCTTCTTGGTGGGTAACCGTCAAAGCAAAGATTTCAAATTAGATGCTGTAAAAAAGGTAGCAACCAAGTTAAGGTTAACCAAGAGAAACATCCTTTTGAAAGATAAGCACATAAATGATGCAGACTTTGTCAAAGATTTGCGGAAAAAAGTCAGCAATGCATTTGAAAACACAAAGGTGAAGATGGGAATTGAGAAGATGGCTGACATTGCCCGTAAACATGGAATCTGTGTTGAGTGCCAGACAGCGAAGAAAAATGCAGATGCTATCACTGCAGAAATTCAAGACATTCTTAAATACAAAGAGGTTCAGCTTCCCTTGCAAGGCCAAATATGGAAGGACCTTACTCGCTTGGAGAAAGAAGAATTGCGACTTCGGCAAGTTGGGTCTGAAAATATAGAAAAGTACAAAAGTGATCTTCAGCTACAGAAAACCAAACTTTGGGAAGAACAGAACTCTCATGACATCTCAAAGGCAATGACATGTTTCATCAATGCAATATCAAGCCCAGGGATTGAGAGGTGCTATTTCCTGAAATGGATGCGAATCAACCTCGATAACGTGTCTCGGGAAAAACTCTTTGACCTCAGGGAGCAGTACAAAGAAAAATGCAAAAACCCTGAGAACAAAGAGGAGATCAAGGAGATTGACAAACAACTTTCCAACAGCTCATTAGGGACTGAACACTTCTTCCGTGAAATGGGGCAGATCTATGAAGCTTCCCTTTCCCTTCCTGAAACAGACGCAGCACGTCAACAACTACAGCATCTCCCCAAGCTATGTGCTGAGTTAATGATTGATGGATTTCCACTTGAGCTTGTAGATGGAGAAGCATCCAACATACCTCTCAGATGGGTGACTGACGTTCTCTCTCAGCTCAATGACTTGGTGTCTCCTAAGAACAAGATCCTGGTAGTCACAGTTCTTGGAGTTCAGAGCACAGGAAAGTCCACTCTCCTCAACACCATGTTTGGAGTGCAGTTTGCAGTCAGCAGTGGTCGATGCACTCGAGGTGCCTTTATGTTGCTGATTAAAATCAATGAAGATGTCAGAAAAGACTTCAACTGTGACTTCATGGTGATCATTGACACTGAGGGCTTAAAGTCACCAGAGCTCGCACAACTGGACAATAGCCACGAGCACGACAATGAGCTTGCAACACTTGTTGTGGGGCTGAGTGATATCACCATCATCAATGTTTCAATGGAGAATTCAACAGAAATGAAGGACATCCTACAGATAGTTGTACACGCTTTCCTCAGGATGAAAGAGGTGGGCAAAAAGAAGCCCAAATGTCAGTTTGTTCACCAGAATGTGTCTGATGTTTCAGCCCATGACAAGAACCTGCGAGACAGGAAACTGCTCCTGCAACAGTTAAACGAGATGACCCAGGCAGCAGCCAAAATGGAAAAGAAAGAAGAGTACTCGAGCTTCACTGATGTGATGGAGTACAGTCCAGACACTGGAAACTGGTACATTCCTGGACTCTGGAATGGAAACCCACCGATGGCACCAGTCAATGCAGGCTACAGCGAGGCTGTCTATGAGCTCAAGAAGAACATCATCCACATTTTGGAAAGTTGTGGATCATCAGCTAATAATATCTTGGAGTTTACAGAGTGGATGAAGAGCCTGTGGACGGCAGTAAAACATGAAAACTTCATCTTCAGCTTCAGAAACAGTCTCGTGGCTGATGCATACATGAGGCTGTGCACAGAATTCAACAAATGGGAATGGGACTTCAAAAAAGAAATGTTCACATGGGTTACACAAGCTGAAACAAGAATCTCCAACTTCGGTACACCTGCTGATAAATCTAACATATCTGACATGACCGAACTTCATTTGCTATTGAAAAACAAAGTTTTGACAGAGCTGTCTGAATGGGAAACAAAGCTTCTTGAAAATCTGGACCAGTACTTCAAGCAAACAGAGGGTCATGTCTATCTTGTTGAAGGATACAGAGAGGAGTTTAAAAACAGTGCTTAGAGCCTTCGACGAGAAATGGAAAGCTCTGTGTTTAATCAACTCAAAGCAGCAGCCGACATCAGACAGGGGATGACTGAACTTGATAAAATCAAGGAGAACCACACAAAGGACTTAGAGGGCAGAGTTTGTGCATTGATTGGCAAATGCCGAAAGGAAAAAGTCCAGATGAAAGAGAAAGAGCTGGACAAAGAATTTGAAAAGATGTGGACTGAAACAGTGAAGGAACTTTCCTTTACAGAAATGAAGGAGGAGGACATTTTCACCAGTGTGTCTCACCGCCTGAGAACAAATCTATCAACCAAGGGAGGTCATGCAAGGGATTTGTTAAGTCAAAAAAGCCTGAGAGAATGTGGACTGGGGCCATTTAAATATACAGTTGAAGGACTCTTCAGTCAATGTGCAGACACATTTAAAAAGTGGTTAAACATACCAGGTAATGCAAAGGCTGTACAACAAACAACTGACAGCCTCATTGCAGTTTGCTCACAGATGGTGACTGACAAAGTGCAAAGAAAGAGTAATTACCATGATACCTACATCGATGAGATTTTAAACATGATTGATGAGAGGCTGCAAAACAATCATGATGTTGGAACAGACATCACTTTTGAAGTCTCTCTGAAACAGCACATCTGTGGAGACGCAGCCAGAAGGTTTCAGAGAATGCATGAAGATTTCCTCCAAAAGAAGGATCCCTACAGATGTCTGAAGGAAAACAAAGAAAAGTTTCTTGATGATTTCAAAGACGTGTTCCATAATGTAGACCAGTGCCAGAAGAAGGCAGAAGAATTCACAGACCGATGCTTGAAGCCTGCAGTCGAAGACTTTGTCAACCGTTCCCTGGGTCCTGATATCATTGGTGAAATGAAGACAAGAGAGGAGTTCAGCACAAGAATGTCCTTCCAGTATTCACTTTTACTGGATCTGCTCTCAGAGGATGACTTTAAAAAGTATGAGAGCTTTATTTCCTCTTATGAGAAATATGTGAAGGAATGGATACTCAACAAAATATTGGAACGCTTCTCAAATGGGTCTACGATGTTTGAGGATCCACATCTCCAGTCATGTGTCAACAGCATAAATAATGCTATCCAGAAAGCTAAAACAGAAAAGAGTGGCAACTTAAAGTCATTTGTTGAAGTTGTCTGTCAGGAACTTGGTGACAAACTGGTCATTTCCCAGGATGCTCTTGGGGCATTCATGACCCTGAACAAGGCCGACAAGGAACAGTTTGCTCACAGGCTCACTGAGTGTGTGACAGAGATGGCACACACTCTTAGAGAGAAGTTTAAAAAAACAAACATCCAAACTAAACTACAGAGCCTTCATGTGAATCCTCAGGACAAGCTTTTCAGCACACTGATTGGATGTGGTAAACAGTGTCCGTTCTGCAAAGCACCCTGTGAGGCAGGAGGAAGAGCCCACACTGAGCACTTCGCTTCACTTCATCGTCCAGAGGGTCTGGGTCAATACAGATGGAGTGATTCAGAAAAACTTTGCATTGACATATGCTCTTCCTCTGTGAACAGTGACGAAGGTTTTAGCTGCAGTGCTACAAAAGATGAATGGCACCCTTACAAGCGTTACAAAGAAATCTATCCGGACTGGAAAATCCCACCAGATGCAAGCCTCCAGGCATCAGACTACTGGAAATATGTACTGGCAAAGTTCAACAAAGAGTTTGCAGCAGCATACGATGCAAAGCCTGCTGATATTCCTGCAGCTTGGAAACGTATCACACCTGAGCAAGCAGAGGCAAGCCTCAAAGAGTCATTTCATATCAAATGAGAAACTACAAGCTTCGTGCTCACAGAGGGTCCCGTCCTCCTCATTACAGTCATCATCCTCTCATGGACATTTAGATTACACTTGATTTATATGAAGAGAAGCACACAAAGTAACATGCTGTTTATGAGATGGCAAGGTTGACCATATATTTCAACAACAACTTACAAGGAATTTGTAAACGTTTCAGTTTGATTAACATACTTTAATTACTTCTTTTTTTGGTTGTTATTGTAGTATCAATTAATCAAATTATTTCCTTAAAGTAACTGATGCAAACATTTTTGTTTTTATGTTTTTCTGTGCTTTTGTCGTAAACACATTAACAATTGTAATGTTTTAAAATATCATTCAGTCTTCATGTCAACATCAAGATTATACAATGTCTTTATTTGTATTTCAAATAAGTATCTGATTCTTATTATTTACATTTTTATTGACACATTTATAATTGTTGTCTTTTCATTTCTGAGCTGCATCAAAAGCCACACATTTAGATTTTTAAATCAGTGAATGAATCATTGTGTTTTAGTGGTGGTACAGTCAACATGTAAACATGACAGAAAGTCTGTTGTAATCAAGTTCAGTTTGACATGTGACCGTTTCCCAGAGAGTTAGAATCTATTCTTATTTTGTTTCATTTATATATTTACATTTTCAATGTTTAACATATCATTCAATCTAAATGTCAACATGTAGATTACACATGAATGTTGTTCTTACCTTATTGAGTGCTATATGGCATTGCCTTACCAAAAACCTGAAAGTCTTTCTTTGTATTCCAATCAAGTATTTAGCTCCAAATATTTACATTTTAATGTTCATGTTATAATATTTACTCAACATGTATTCTGTTAGTTTTCATTTTCAAATGCCACATTTTTAACATTTTTAGATCAATTAAAGGATCATTTAGTTCATATTCAGCATGTCAACATGTAAACATGACAACAGGTTTGAATCAACTTAAGGATGATATAAAGATGGTATTGTTTTTGTGAATATTTATTTTGTTGCATTTTTTATGTTTAAAAGATATTCCAGTCTAAATGTCAACATGTCGGTTATCCTTCAGGTTGTTTTTATTACCTAATCCAGTTTGACATTTAATTGTCTTTGTTCAAAATCTATAACCACTTTGTTTCCTGTCATTGAAGAATCTGATATCACATATTTACATGTATTACTCACTTAAAAGATCATTCAATATAAAAGTGCTATTGTCAACAAGTAACAGCATCATATATGATCTTTCTTTTACTCAGATCTTCTAATCTTTTGTTTCTGTGAAGTATCTGATTCTTTATATTTACGTAATAAAAAATACCATTCATTCTTTATACTGTTCATTTCTTTATAATGTTAACATGTATACTTACTGTTTACTATTTCAATAAAGAGACCACATCTGCAGACTGGCTATGGATGTCTTTAATGTTTCCCAGATCAGAATCACAGCATAGTGTATAATAACTTCTAAAGTAAACAGAAATATCATCACCTCATTTATTTATATAGTTTAAATATACTTTCTTTTTTAATAATCATCTTTTTTTAATACCATTATTTAAAAAATGTTGTTCATCTCAAATCTTAGGATTCTGAATACAACAAATAATGTAAAAACAAGACAACAGGTGCAACTCTGCAATGAATCGTGTGTGTGTGTGTGTGTGTGTGTGTGTGTGTGTGTGTGTGTGTGTGTGTGTGTGTGTGTGTGTGTGTGTGTGTGTGTGTGTGTGTGTGTGTGTGTGTGTGTGTGTGTGTGTGTGTGTGTTTACCGTGGGCCACATTAAGTCACTTTGGTTTGCTTGGCTGACTGCAGTTTGCTGAGGCTAGCTGTGTCCACATACATCCAGTCTGATCCACGGCTAATCACAGGTTCAGACTCTGAAAGTGAGAGACATTCAGATTAACTTAAAGTTGAATTTAAACTGTTAACAAGAAACTAGAAGTAAAGAATGTTTTGAAGGATGTGTGTGCATGTTTTGCTTTCTAGTGTTTTTGTGTTGATTTGTCCCATAACTGTATATTTTGCTAATTAAAAACACATGATTACATTTGGATAAAGAAAGTATAGATGGAAACACAACAAGGGGAAGTCGGTCCATGTCATTCATTATCTTCATCTTCAGGTCAGCCGAGTTGACAATAATGAATAAATGACTGACCTGTGTTCAACCCTGAGCATTGTTTTAACAGTGTTAAAGATACATTCAGCCAGTTATATCATTGTTCAAGAAATCAATCACATGGTCTTACTGAAAACTGTCCTTTACCTATTCATTCTGAACATGGACCCCAGCAGACTACTGACATCTAGTGGACATGAATTGCAACAACACCTACTTTAAACTCAGGATTTCTCTTTCTAATTGTTATTTTTAAAACATAAAGACATGGAACCTTAAACATTTCTTAATTGGACCTGACAATTAAAGACAATTGTTAATTGACTGTTAGCACTGTCATTTTTTTAAAGTAAATAATTTAATTTAAAACACAACCATAGCCTCAAGACATGCAAAGTGAATTAAGAAGAGCAACTATCTGCAATTGACAACAACTTAATATGTTTAACTACAGTTGTCCCAATTGAAGCTCCCGTCACAGTGTACTGACGGATTCTGCAGTCCATTGCTGCTGTCATCATCAAACATCTCCACACACAGACAACACAATCATATCTGTCTACTGATTTATCAGGAAAACTCACAAGGTTTATCCCAATATCCATCCTCAACTTGACCCGGAAATCGATCGTTGAAGAACATCATGATTCCTTAAACGTGTGCGGTGGAGTCGAGGAGGGAGTAGGCTTTTACATTTGCTTGATTTTTTGTAAAATAGAAATATCTTTGATTAAGGATGAGATCCTTCTCTACGACACATTAAAGTGTTTGAAATAAACTTACACATTAAAAAATAATGGTTTGATAATAATTATTGTCACTATTAATGAATAATTTACAGTTCCTAATAGTGGTTTATTTGCATGTGTGGATAAAGGACACTGCATTTAAAACAATTCATTGGTCAATAAAATGATTATTATTATTTAGTTTATTTCAATTTTATTTCAATTAATACATTTGTGTCTGAATTCTTAATTTAGTTTTTGTGTGTTTTTTATTTGTTGTCTTAATATTAATATTTTGTCAAAGAGTGAGTTCTGCCAACTTCTACTATCCAAAAATGTAAATATTCTTCGACTT